TCCATTTTATTTTCCACTATCCCCAATTCATGCGGGACGGAGTCCATCAAGCGCATCGCCATCAATGCAGGAACCAAAGACCACGATGTCAACTCTGACTTGCGAGGCTTCTGGCACCTGCGCCCGGACTCTGTTCGGAAGCAGTGGGTTCATGCTCGATTGCATCCGATTACCAGAGCATACGGTTCCCAGAGCATCCTTGACCAGACCGCAATAGCTTTCATGTTTAAGTGCATCCGATTACCGGACCATGCTTGCCCCAAATTCTGCGTGTCCAATCTTTAAAAAAAATGCGCAAGTGCACGCCACATCAGGCCCGAAGTTGCACATGCGCGGGACTTGCAGATCCACTGCGCTGGTCAGCATTCTCAGCGCGTTGATCGGCTTGCAGACGCTGCCCAATATCTGGACTGGCAGGCGCAGCAGTTTCTCACACCCTTAACTTTCAGCCTGCTCAAGAGAAACTTCGCCAAAAACACCTTTGCAATGCCAAGAAGAGCCTTTGGCAGTGGCGCCGTCACCGTATTTCAGGCTCTGCCATGTGGTGCTACGCCAACCTCGACTACCACCTTCATCTATGAACATCGAAATCCTCGCGGGCCCCTTTTTTATAGAAAAAAAGTGTGCCGGCCAAAAATTGCCCAACCACTCAATTTCCTCCAACTGCCTGATCCCCTGCGCCTGCGAGCATGTTCTACGCTTGAATCTGAACTATTATCCTAGTTGTCCAAACGCTGGGCTGGTCCCGAGTCACTCAGGCCCTTACCGCTACAACGCAAGAAGGAGTAAACAGTAAACCTGTAGCCTTTGAATGTTACCCCAATGAGGAATGAGTTAAAGGGCATGTAAGGATTAGGTTGAGAAACACCCCTATGAGTGGCAATTCCTCGTAGGGACGCTGTAGTCAGTAAGCCTAGCTTATTCTTTAGGTTTCGCATCCTACAACATGAAAAAAAAACTTGACAGGTTCAATCAAGAGAAACCGCACTAAAGCCGAAACCCCAATGGGAAAGTGTAGCCCAAGTGGCAAACCCTAAACACTTGAAGCGTGCTCAATTCAACCTGAAGCCTAAAACCCTAGATCCTTACCCCTAAACCCCAAGCCCTCATGCCCTAAACGCTAAGTCCTATGCAACACAGGCCCGACGACAAGATTGCATGCCTTAACTCCCAAACTCCAAAGGCCTCAGGGTTTAGATGAATGAAGTTAACTCAATGGGCAAGCTAGGGGGTAGAGGGACTTCTTGCTTTGAGAGTGGGGTTATGTCGTTACCCCAACCCCTAAACTGGGTTCCGCCCAGAAGTTGAGTCATGTTTTTGGAGATTCCCTAGGAACAAAAAGCCTTCTAGTAGCTTGGGGTATGCAAGGGGGGCTCTTCTCTGGGGATGGACATGACCCAAAATTGTAGACTCCAAAGTCCCCAGCCCACCCAGCAGTGCAGACCCCTTAGCTTGGAGGTATCATGCCCAGGGTGCGACGCCACTCATGTTCAGCGTGCTTACTGGCAACGTAGAGGCTCCGCAAGTTGATACTTCACGAGATAGGAAGCTTTGTTATGGTAGATTACAGTATATTAGGGGTTACGTAGGGATTATATATATGTATGTATATACAGGGGTAATGGAAAGGAAGATGGTAACTACTATCATCAGGATTCTGGGCAAATAGTAACGGCCTTACCCGGCCTCACTAGATGGAAAATGGGTTCAAGGTAAGCTGATTTCAGGCTTGGATGAAAGTATGATATCCTAAGCCCTAAGCCCTACATCTTAAACTAGCAGAGTTTGTATGGCAGGTATGGCTGAGCTTTAGTTGTTGCTCAGCCTTCATGTCAACTCTTAGCCCTTTCACCTCCGCCGCCGAGCAATCCCCTTCCCAGGCTTATATTGAAATCCGCCACGACCATAATGTTCTAGTTTCTTTTGTGGTATACTATAGTACATTGGGAATGTTTAATATTTGGGGGTTGGGAGATTTCAATACTAGGGGGGAGGGGATTCTTGCTCTCCCTCCATTTTCCCGTCTCCCCACCCTCCCGACATTTGTCCCCTTCTTACCTCATCCACCCATCCACCCCAGCTCTGTTTACCCTGCATCTAGAACCCTATACCACTAAACTCACGATGCGGGCTCCTCCACGCCTAGCCACGAACGGGGCAGGAAGATGTTTGCGGCAAGTCTATTCTTGTCCAGGCTTGATAGTGACAACTTATTCACATCACAGCTTTGCGATTGTCTTTGATTTCGTGAAGGAATTCGGCAACACAGGATAGGCTTGATGGTAAGCATTGTCTTGTACTATGTGAGATTGAAACTACATAATTTCATGAAGTTTGGCGAGAACCCCTGGCAGCTGAGAGTGCAGGGTTTGGTCTCGTTGTAGCCGTCAGCAGTAGCAGCGGCGATTGAGTACCTTGACTGGTAAGTGTCCTAGGCCTCTCAAAAATAGGACATGATAGCTTAAGTACCTTGTTCCAGAAAAAAAGTGCATGGGCTTCAGGGTTTAGGGATGTTTAGGGTGTGTGGTCTGTTTACGGTGGCATCAATGGGTTCATCTCTATTTCCAGTTGGTGTGGAAGGTTGCTAAATTTATGGTCTCTTGTTGGGGAACGAATAATTAGGGTACCCAATTCCGGACTCTAACTTTGACAACCTCGCGTATGTTGGCTTCGTGCAATATATTGTTGGATACCTCGCAGGACAGGCTCAGAAGGCAAAAGGGAATCAGCTAGTTGAGTCGATCCCCCTTTTACATTAAGGGTTTATGATTATGAAAACAGACCCGTTTACTGGCGAATCACACGGAAAAAACAAATGGACAATGGAATGGAAACTGCGGTGGTCTTTGAGCTTTACGGAGAGTTTACCCGATCCTAATATTGAAGCCCCAACCCCCTTAATTTAATTTTTCCCATTGTGTGAACCCACAAATTGTCAGCCCTAAGTGCGTCGAGAGAGGCCTCACAGCTTTTGCTGGCTGCCCGGGCGAAGCCAGAGATACCAAACAGCAGGCCGCGGAGCTTGGAATTTGCAAGGATGGTCCTAAGGGAAGGGTTCATAGGCTTGAGGGTTTGCGAGACCTAGTTTAGTACAGTTGATTTACATAAATTCTGCATGACTTGTTTCTACTGTGGTCCCACAATCCACTGAGTTCAGCCGCCCCCCCCAGGGACCATTGCAGGATCCCTTCAATGAATTTGGCAAGCTTCGCAGGCGCCAACTCTTAAGGCAATTTCCCACAATTCTCTTTTAAGGGGCATTCTTGTGAGGCGTCATGATGCGATTTGATTTGCAAGCCTATAGCAGGCGTATTTCCATTTACTCTCCCCCTACCAGGTTCGGAACAGATCC